TTTGCTTTGAAAATACAGAGGTTGCATATTTTGACCGAATATTTTACAGATTGTGGATAAACCATTAAATATGGTTTACTCGATGTTTGTTTTTTATTGTCATAAGTTTATCTTTTCTTGATTTCTGAAACATCATTCATGGTTTTTTGAGTTATTTTTCCTTTTAAAAACAAGATTAAATAAAGAGAAAATTTGATTGCCACAAAAGAACAAATAAAATAATGAAAAAGTTGATTGAGACATTTTTTGACCTAGCTATGTGAGAACTATTTTAAAAAGTACCATATAAATCTGCAACTTATTATTTAATGGATGTAAGAAAGACTTTAGGTTCAGTGTCATTAAACAGTTTCCTTAAGCGGGAATGTGGTTTGGAATGGTTGTTTATAAATATGTAGATTAATTTAAGTCCAAAAAGTGTCAAGCATTAATGTTAATGCATGTTAATGAAGTGCTACTGCACTAAGCAGTGGATGGCCAGCCGGAACAGTGGAGATAGGATTTACCCTGAGGTTCAAAATGAAACTGCCATGCAATGTAAACAGAAGGCATGGCTCCTATTGATTGGCAGGGATGTTGTTCACTATTGACACTTATTTCCTGGTATTCTATCAGATGCACAGTTAAACCAAGTTTTTACTGTCTCCAACCCTCCTGTTTTTTTCACTGAAGTAAATCAATTTCGAGGACAGAAATGAATACCCTTCTTTCTCAGAGAGACAGCAGGATTCATAAGGGAATAATTACAAGTCTAATTCAGCTCTTTTAATGACATCAGCCCAACAATTCTTGGATTCAAAGTCCCGGATGAGTTCCTAAGCTTTTTAACTCTGAGCTTCTAGGCTGAAATAGTATGACTTTTAAATTTTGCTTTCATTGGAAGATCAAAGAAGTGACTGCAGTATTAATTAACTGTGTGTATTTCTGTTTGTGTAGCTTGCTGAAAAAAAATTGTGTATTTAATAGCATCCATTTGCTGGGTGAGATAAGGAAAGCTGGTCTGTTGGGCCTATAGGAGGAACTGACTGCAGGACTGACAAAAGCTTCTAGAAGTTGGTCATCCATGTACGTATTCTCTAGAAGATTTTTCTGTCAGTTCTAATCTGATAATCCTGAGATGAGCTTTTCTAATGGGCTGGATTCCAGGTGGATTACTCGGTGTGACTGTTTGTTTTATCTTGTGACTATTTGTTTTATCTTGTGCAGATTTTAAGCACATGAAGATTTTTTTATTTTGTACAAAAACTACAAACATATAGTTGGGAATGTAGAGGGGAATGACATTTTTCTACATTGTTTTCTTATTTGGTAATAGCATCCATAACTTCCGTTTTTGTAACCATACAATGAAGGAGTGCTGGTGCCCTGTTTGTATGATTAAAATCTATACTCTTTTGGTCAAGGCAGGCCAGCCATCCTTTCTACTCATTCTTCAGTATAAAATAGAAAATATATAAAAGTTAAACCAGCATCCAAGATCATTTTATTTCTTGCCTTAACCCTTTAGTTATTGACGCTGTATCCACTGCTCTGCCTCTCTCCTCAGATCCAGTCATTTCCTCACAGAGAAAAATCGGGTTTGTCAGACATGATTTACCCTTGGTTGGTCCATGCTGACTGTTCCCAACCTAGTTCTCCATGTATTCAGAGATGTGCTTCTCACAAAGTGGAGTAAGGCTGACCAGCTGGCAACCCCCTGTGCTGTCCTTTAGGCCTTTTCTGAAGGCGGGTGCGATGTTCGCCTTTCTCCAGGCGTGGGACATCTCTGCTGGTCTCTATGACTTTTCAAAGATAAGAGAAAGCAGATGCATTATGGCGGCAGCCATTTCTCTCAGCACCCCTGAATGCAGCCCATCTCTTATGTCCTCACTTCAGCTGAGTTGTTGCTGTCCCAAAATGACGACTACTTCTTCTAGACTGAGGTAGAGCAGAACTAAACTGCTTGTATGCATCAATCAGAAACTGTCCTTGGTTTCCTCTTAGTTTCCTTATACTGTAAGGGAAGGGAACGTCTGTGCCAGTCACATACGAAGATGGTACTGCTTGGTCTGGTTTGCTCAGAAATAGGACAAGAAGTCATGCAAAGCCTCTGACACATGCTGGGGAGAGAGAGTCATGGTATTTTGCTGAGGAGATGAAATGCTGGAGGAAAGTGTGCCCCCTTCTACAAGTTCTGTTTTTAATGTAAAGGTATTATTTGTTCATTAAAAGAAGTGGTAGATCTCTGCCTGCTTGTTGAAGGCAGCGCACCTGTGCGCCAGCTCTGGGTCAGGAGCTGGGCTCCAGGGGTAGCAGACTGTGCTTGCCTGCTGGCTGCCAGTGGCCGCTCTGATCCTGTTTCTGCGGGAACAAGTGTTGGATCAGCAAATGGGATGTATGTGAGAACAGTAACACGCAAATATTGATTTACTGGCTACCCGAGCTGCTTCTGTGGTTACAAGCTGTCTGCCTTCAGCTGCATGCCTTACGCTGCCCGTAAGGCACAGCTCTCCTGCTCTGCTGCCTTACCCTTGTTATTTGGAGAGGACTAAGGAGTGTTCTAACACACGGCATGTGAGAAAGTGAATCCATGGAGTGCTACTGTGGGAGATGCTGGTCAGCCAGAGCGTAGTCCAACCTATTTCTTTCATTACCACTGGTGCTGTAACTGTGTGTTGCATTTGTTAACTCTTTGCAAACTCTGGACAAGGACTGCCATGGTGTCTGGCATCTCCCATGGGAGTGAGGAGCAGACAGCAAAAGGCTGCTACAGAGCTGGGGAGGAGGTGGTTTTGTTGTAATTTTCCACCCTCTATCCCTTTGTTTCTTAACCCCTTAAGAAACCCACAAACCTATCCCTTCATAATTAGTTCTGTGCAAAAGGTTGAATTCAACCTGTCTCAGTTTGGGCAAAAGGGAGTAGAAACCTCAGTGATGATAGTAAAATTGTGTTCTGTGTAATTTTAGATGTCAGATTGAAAATCTACTGATCATGGATAATTTTCAAGCATAAGTCCGGGCCTACAATTATAGTGGCATTTGTGCTTAGAAATCCTGACTTCACTGTCCCATGAATGTGGATTTAATTCTCATTACTATCTAGATAACCTCAGAATTTTTGGTTTTGATCTTCCTACACAAGATGCTAATCAACGACCAGATTCTTTTTAATTAACCCCTTACTAGGACTTTTTTTTTTTTTAATTTAGGCAGCTTTTTGTTTTATATATCCCTAGAAACTTTTACATTTTTGTGGTTTAATTACATTTAGAATAGAAAGGAATTTTCATTTTCCAGGGAAAAGGGTTAAAACAGAGTTTGCACCTGAGAAAGGGAATTTAATATTATGCCTATCGAGCAGCACTTGATAGTGATGAAAATGCCAGAATGCCTGACAGTGGTGTATTCTGTTGCCACCAGTGCCCCATTAGGGAACCTTTCCAGGACTCAGTGAGCTCCTGAGAGCTATATTTGTTTGCAGATTTTTCTTTCTTTTTTATACGCTTTTGCCCTTCCTTCCCGTCCCTTTTTTTTTTTATTTGTGTCTTATTAATTACCCCCTAGATTCTAAGACTCTTAAATACAGCTCATCAGACTATGACTATACACCAGAGAAGCATTTGGCCTCTTCAATTTGTTCAGCTTCAAATTGCCCCCACTGTCCAAACAGGCAGCTGGCTATTGATGTGGTGTGGAAAAACCTCAAGGAAGCAACCTCTCCTTGTGAGCACACCACAGGAACAACAAGTGTCACAGAGGCTGTTTGCACAAGCTGGAAATGTTGCTTCTGCAGTTTGAGATCCCTCTATGGGCTTGGTACCTTCTTGAGTTGCCCTCCAGCTTCTACAACACTTTTACTGCAGTGTGCTACTGAAATTACTGTTACTGTCAGAACTTGTTTCCTGCTGGTTTTTTTAAGGTTCCTGGGCACTACTAAGACAGCTGTCAGACTCTTGTTGTACTGAAAATCTCCTTGCAAATATTGGAGATCTTGTACTTTGTTTCAGTTGTCTGCTTTACTTAAAAACCTGCTGTGTGTCAAAACTAAAGGAATCCTTTTTTCCCCCAATATGCTGATACTTCCTCGCAATTGTGAGCAGGACATAAACCCATTAAAAGCCTTGAATTACTTCTTAACCAATGTTTATACAATAGCTCAATACAAATTATGTTTATACAATAGCATAACTCCAAAACTGTGCTATTTTGACAAATATGTATATGCTGTGGAAACCACAGGATTTGTGGGAGGAGGAGATTGCCTTGAAGAAGAATCCAGCATTAACTGGCCATTGGTTACTGAGATGGTACACAAACCTCGGTGTCAGATTGGCTTTGTTTGTTGCTACAGGAGGCGTGGGCTGCTGAATGTTTTATAAGGAACACTTTTCTCAGTTGCATGCTTGCCTGGGGGTGGCCTCGTCTACCATAAGCACCTTATTCTTGCTAGTCATCCCTTCAGGCTCAGCATGCTGGTGTAAGGCAAAGTGAGAAAAGACATCGGCAGACCACAGCATGATGCACCTTATCAGCAGTGGCCAGCAAATGAGCTCAAATCAGCCTTAATTTGTAAAAAGCTTACTAAACTAGGACTGGGCTCCTCAGGAGACAAGTTGCCTCTTTCTCACCAGCTGAAATGATGAGATACACCAAGGGCTGCTGTCCTGGATCAATTGAATGTGCTGATGCCCTGACATTCTTTGCAGACTTCGGACGTATTTAGTATTTAGGGTATGTCTCCGTATTGCTCTATTTATCCTGAGCCTCCTGGAAACCATATGTCTGTGACTCATGGGACAACGAGCCTGGGCTAATCAGCTATGTTGACAGGCAGGGTGTATTTTATTTGGCTTACTGCAACCCTAATGTGGTCGTGCAGTTTCCAGAATAGCTTGTGTGGATATGCCCATAATCAGAGCAGCTTAAAGTGACTCTGAATTTGTCTCTGTCCAGTTCAGACTGTGTGACCTTTAAAGAGACTGTGAAGCAATAGCTCTTCCTTTTTCCTCTCTGCCCCAAAGGCCAATCCAGGACACGGAGGTTTTGAAGGGACACAAGAAAAATAGAGCCAAAGTAAACATCAGCAATGAAAGAGGAGAGGAAGAAACAAAAATAGCAATGGAAATCTGTCAGGTACAGAGAAGGCTCTTTTTGACATACTCTATTTCTTATAACACTTAGCATACGTTTAGTTAAACCAGTAAAAACAGACATTCTAACCCTGCATTTATGGTATACTCCTGCTGGGAAGATTATATTCAACACTGGAGCTATGGCAAATCAGAATTGTTTTGTAGGAACAAAGGTATTTTTTAAACTCTGATACATCTTACTATTTGTTCTCAACTGAGTTCATGTATTAAAAAAAAATGGAAAAAGGCAGTGTGAGCATGCTGCAGGTATGCTACAAAGTTGCCTGGATGACTGACCCTCCCTATTTGGCTGGCTACTTTCTGAGAACATGTTGAACACATGCTCTGCTGCCGTTTGAAGGCCCCGTGAGAGGAAGAAGCTGATCGAAAGCTCTCAGTTATGCTGAAGTGGGTGGCCAAAGTGCTGGAATTGAACAGCTACTATGAAACCTGCTGAACTTTGTTGTTTATAAATTATTTTGCATGCCATCTGGAACAAGAATGGTGCCACAGTTTACAAAAGCTGTAGCTGAGGTTCAGGTGTGAAATATTATTAAGTGATTATCAGATTTTAAAGGCTTCTCTATGGCTTAAAGACAGATTCTCAGGTTAGAGAGGTTTTAACTGAAACACACTGCTAGCTTTTCTTTCCTTGCAGTGTGTTTGTCTATGCTACATTTGGGTCTCCCGTTGAGTCCTTACCAATACCCAAGAATACTTCTGTGATTGAGTCTAGGGCAAAATATCCGTTAGATAAGAGTACCACCTCCATGGGCAGGAGGTGGTAGCTGTCCAAAATATTTCTCAGAAAACCTTCCTCTTGTGCATGAATGGTGTCAAATATGAGATTTTTTATGTTTCAGGTAGAATGAAGCTACTCAATACATGAACCCATTTCCCAAATCTTGCTAAAGCAATCTAGCAATTCTGGTTGGGACAAGGGCACAAGGACCATGCAACATGGCCAGACTGTAATTGGCCTTCTGCTTGCTTGACTCGATCTGTCTTTTATGGACTTTTCCCTTGGTAGCAGAATGGTGTCCATAGGTGCCATCTGGGTTGGATGAGGAGACTGGGCCATATTTAGGAAACAAAATATGCTTAAATAATTTTGTTGTCCCCAGCTATGGCCTCACCTGGATCAGTAAGACCAGGAATCTTTGAACTTTCCAACTTTCTGCTATGAGTATGAGGGGGATTTTTACCACTTTTCGTAGTGAATCCCTGTTTAAAAAAGGCATAGGGCAAATGTGCTGTGATGGTGACTCATGTCTTTACTATGTGAGCAAGCAGGGATGTAACTGAAATGGCTCAATATGTGGGATGCTCAACATATGCTGGCTGGGCATATAATGGGAAATGTCACAGGAGAGAGACTGCAACACGCAAACCTGGTTTGTACATGGACCTGATGGTGTGCTGACACACACCTTTTTAATTAGGTGCATTACAGCTTAAGCTCTTTCTGGAAAGTTGGTAGTGAAGGCAAAGAAAATTGAAAGTCTTATAGATATCAGTCAGGTATAAAACATGGATTAACAACTGGAACAGATATTAATAACAAAAATACAATCCACTTGCATAATTTTTGTAGGAGTACCTTTCTCTTCTGTTGAACTAGGTGGAAAGCTTATGTGCTTGTTAATGTGAAGCAGATGGCTACGATTGGAAAGCAGCAATAAAGAAGGTTTTCTGGTCAAATTTTTTATAATGCTGAACGGGCAGTTCCCTGATATGACTCTATACCTCATTAGTTGGCATTATATACAAGGAATTAAATATAACTTGCCTTGCCTTGCCTTGCCTTGTGCTATCTGGTTCAAATGCAGTCTCAAAATTTGATGCTGTTGCTTGAATTAGTGGTGTTTGTACTTTGAGTGTGTGACAGTTTCAATATGTTCTTATTACAGCTTCCACACATTAATACCCTATGAAAAGGTTGCTAAAGTATTATAGCTACTTTTCAGACTTCAGCTTCTACTTTCCTCTGAAAACTTACATTTGTGTGCAGGGTTTTCTGTTCTGCATAAGATGCTAAGGAGAAGATGGGAACATTAAACTCAGAACTATTAAAATCAATGGAAACCTGGGATTTTGAGAACAGATGAGGATTGACACATGGTTTCTGATTGCTACTTTGTCCCCTTACTTGTAGACCTACAAAACAGAGTCTTTCTAGCTTCCCTGACTATCGCTTTTTTCCCCCATATGAGTGTAATTTTAAAGTGTCTAGTGCTGTGGAATTCATTCTGCAGCCTTCTGCTCCATCAAGGCACCAAATAGGTCTCCCTTGCACATACACAGTTATTTTCAGAAAAACTGGGGGAACTTACTAGCTTTGAGACTCTGGGTCCTTTGTCAAATGTGTCTGAATTTAGTCAAAAAGTTCAAAAATTGCTGGAAACGTGGGCAGACAGTGTCCATATGTGCACACAGGTAATGAACCCATAGGCTTTGCGTGTGCAGGAACACATGTACCTAGTGCTGCATGTGCTTTTTTTACTCTGTACAGTTGATGAAATTCCACCAGGTCTGAAAATTCAGTCCTACTTCAAGAAATAGTTGATTTGCCTTCGTTCTTTATTTTTTTTTCCCCAGGCATGTTATTTGTTTATTTATTTTGCTTCTCTCTAATCCATCCTTATAAGTGGTATAAGAGAAATGCTGACACACTCTTGCCTTTGCCATTACCAGTGGGTGCTACTCTAAAAGTATCTAATGATTTTAATGAATTTGTGCCTGAAAGTTGGACACTGAAGCTGATTTGAAAGCATTCAACAGTGAAAAAAGGAGAGGCCTCTATTGATATCTAGTCAAAAGTGAAGACTTAGCTGTAATTATTTACAAATCAATTAATGGACCTTTCCTCTAACACCCTATCAGTCAAAGACTGGCTAAGAGCAGAGGAGAGCATTGATAAGAATACACCATGAAACAAAATCAATTGGTTTTTCTCATTCTGACAGAAGTGAGCTGTACACGTGTATTAACCCAGAATGCAACAGGAAAATGTCCACAGGCTGGAAGATAACCTAATTTTTTAAAATCAACATTGTCATAAGAATGTTTCGTAACTGATTGTGAGATTAGAATTTATGTAGCAGCCTGGTGGTAAAAATCAAAACAGTTTTTGGTGCAGTGTCACAAACTCTTTAAAGCTAGGTTAGCTTCCTCAGCTCTGGAGTCTGTCCTTCATGTCAGCTAATTTAAAGGAAGTAGATATACAGCATGAACTTTGAGATCATGCTTTTATGAATGAGGTCATATGATCCTCTGCAGTTTTTGGTAATTGTTGGTTCATGTATATTTCTGATTCTGTAGGACAGTCATCAATATTTTTTCTCTTTTTGAAAAAAAGTTTTTTTAATTAGTGTGTTCTTGTATACAAAATCTTTTGTTTCATATTTGTTTTTCTGCATGTGAAGTTGTGATGTTATTCAGACCGTAATCCTGGTTGTAGTATGATTCTGCACCCCCCTCTAAATCTTAATATTTCCTCCAAATGGCTGATGAAAAAAGTCTGAAGCATTTCTGTAATTATCAGTATAGCACTAAGATACTATTGCGGTGATTTAATTAAATGATGAAATTTAAGACTACTAGTTTTAGCAAATATTAGTTCTTTGTGTGATTACACAATATGAAAGTCTCAACAAATTTCCAGTCTAAGTTTTTTTCTCTTTGCACTTAATGGGAGTAGTGCTCTAATTTCTGCGTCCAGCTGGGCAGTACATATTTCACAGCCTTATGATTAGCATAACTTCATTCCACTCAAGCATTCCTCATCAATGTGCTCCAGCTTGAGCTCCACAAACAGAGCTTTCCCCAAGCTGCTTTTGGGAAATCCTTGTGAAAGAGACCACTATGCTCATGCTGCCACTTCTCTCCATCCCTCCAACATGTTTTGTTGTTCCTAGCTGTAATATGCTTTTCTACATTTCTGCAGGTTATTTTGCAAATCATCCAAGGAGTGTAGCAGTTGCTCTGCTTGTCTATTCAATTCATTTTTCAGCCTAAGATAACTCTAAAGATTGTATCTCCTTTGAGATTTAGTGCAATAACTCTTCCTCACCCAGTAGTAAAAATAGGCACTGGTGCGTACAAGGGCAGGAATACCTGAGAATTATTTAAATAAGCAGCAGGCCAAACCTTAAAGCAAAACCCAAAGAAAAAATATTAATCAAAATCAGGATTATCAGTAATGTTTTGTGACCAAGACTAAAGGTCAGCACAGTAACCTTTCAGTAATGCATCGTGCAGTCATGCAAAAGACCTGGTTTCTGTTCCCAGGCTTAGTCTGAACAAACTTGTGTGATTTGTTTAACCTCTACAGAGAGAAAGCTTTGCATTGCTTATCGATTTCAAGGGTGACCATACAGATGGAAGTATGTGCCCTTTTGGTCCTGAATTGGAACAACAGTTCTTGGGAGAACAAGTTTTTAGGGACTTTTAAGTGCTAGAAGTATGCAATGAATGTTAGAAAGAAAGATATGGAGCTCTGTCTTTTAAAACATGTTAATATTATAAACCCTTGAAAATGTAAAAGTGTATGTAGTGAGTCTGACAGCTCCATGCTGAACATAAGGATTCCCAGAGAAACCTGCAGTGCTCCAAGGGACTCTGTTTGTACCAATAGAGATGCTTAAGTTTTCAAGCTACTTAAAAGAAAAGGATTTTCAGGGGGGAAAAAAAATATATTAAAAGAAGAAAAGTTAGGGAAGCTGTGGTTGCCCTGATAACCATAACTCTGATATTAATTAATGTGGCAGTTGCTTTTAGCTGCTGACCTCTTAATGTTTCCATCTACTTATTTGCAGTAATAATTTAAAATTTCTATAATCTCTGTTTTAACTTTATTTTGTATTTATTTATCTTTGATAGTTTTGTTCCCATCCTCACTATGTTGTTCAAAGACAAACTTTTTCCCTTCTTTTCTCCACATGTTCATCTCTCCTCTAGTGAGGCAGAGTGAAAGGGGCAGATGAGGAATTGCAGAACAGA